AGTGTCCTGGCTGCCCACTTGGCCCCCTGTGTCCCTGCCCATTCTTAACCTTGGTCTGGTGCAGTCCCTTCAGCAAGTAAAAATGATAATGTTATAAAAATATTTAACTAAACTAAATATAATTCCCCCTGTAAATAATGTTCTCATGTAGCCCATTCACCATTAAAACTACTTAGGATTAGGGCGCCTGGGTGGCTCAGTTGGCTAAGCGACTGCCTTCGGCTCAGGTCATGATCCTGGAGTCCCGGGATCGAGTCCCACATCGGGCTCCCTGCTCGGCAGGGAGTCTGCTTCTCCCTCTCCCGCTCCCCCCTCTTGTGCTCTCTCTCTCTCAAAATAAAAATAAATAAAATCTTTAAAAAAAAAAACTACTTAGGATTATAACCTCACACAAAGAGAAGCAAGCTACTGCCTGTACCTTGCTCAAGAAACTTAGAGTTCTCAAAGCTAATTTTTAAAACTCATAGCCATCGAATATTACTCAGCCGTCAGAAAGGATGAATAGTTACCATTTGCATCGATGTGGATGGAACTGGAGGGGATTATGCTGAGTGAAATAAGCCAATCAGAGAAAGACAATTATATGGTTTCACTCATCTGTAGAATATAAGAAACAGCACAGAGGATCATAGGGGAAGGGAGGGAAAACTGAGTGGGAAGTCATGAAAGAGGGAGAAAAACCATGAAAGACTTTCAACTATAGGAAACAAACTGAGGGTTTCTGGAGGGGAGGTGGGTGGAGTAATTGGGTGATGGGCATTAAAAAGGGCAGGTGAGGGGCGCCTGGGTGGCTCAGGCGTTAAGCGTCTGCATTGGCTCAGGTCATGATCCCAGGGTCCTGGGATCGAGCCCTGCCTCGGGCTCCCTGTTCAGCAGGAAGCCTGCTTCTCCCTCTCCCATTCCCCCTGCTTGGGTTCCCTCTCTTGCTGTCTCTCTCTCTGTCAAATAAATAAATAAAATCTTTAAAAAAAAAAAAAAGAAGGATACGTGATGTGATGAACACTGGGTGTTATGTGCAACTGATAAATTGTTGAACACCACATCTGGGACTAATGATGTACTACATGTTGGCTAATTGAATTTAAATTAAAAAAAAAAGAAAAAACCTCATAGCCATCAATTTAGAGTTTTGCTAAATTCCAAAAGCTCTCATTACATATCGGGAAGCAGGCCTGGAAGACTCTGACTATAGATCTTTGCTAGATGCTATAGGTAGTGAGAACTTGGGACCTAAAGGAAGTGTCCATTGGAGAGGAATTTTGTGGAGGGAGAGAGAAGAAGGAATCACAACCAGCCCCGTCTCCTGGCTCAAATCAATCCCTATATCGAAACCCTAGAGGGGGTGGGGATTAGAAATGACCAGATCTGATATCGGAAAATCTCAGAACATTAGGGTGAGTTTCTCACTTCCCCAGGCACAAGCTTCAAAAAGTGTGGGGTCTGGCATGGGGCAGCCCAAGTGGGAGGATAGATAAGGCTGAGAGAGAAGGTTGGTGGGAACATACCCCCCGCACTTCCTTTACCTCCACCCCACCGCCCCGCCCCTGCCCTGTTTAGAAAGTCACCAAATCATTGTACCACCCAGTTTAAAAGTCTGGATAGTGAAAAATACAGAACTCTAGATACATATTTGCACATTGACAATTGGTCCTTGTGAGATGCAAATATTTATTCAAAGGGAGATACATGACATGGTTATTTGAAGTACTTTTTTTTAAAAGATTTTTATTTATTTACTTGACAGAGAGAGACACAGCGAGAGAGGGAACACAAGCAGGGGGAGTGGCAGAGGGAGAAGCAGGTTTCCCGCTGAGCAGGCGGGGCTCGATCCCAGGACCCTGGGATCATGACCTGAGCCGAAGGCAGATGCTTAATGACTGAGCCACCGAGGTGCCCCTTATTTGAAGTACTTATTTGTGGTCATAACTTGAGCCATCAAAGTACCTTCAAAATCACCCCATATCCATACATCCAAGAACAAAGAACAATAGAATACTGATGGCTAAACTTAATGGAGACCTTGCCAGGGTTAAAAAAAAACATGATCAAATAAACCAGAAGAACCAGTTTGAGCTACTCCACTGCTAGGGGAGAGGGAGCAAGAGAATATAAAAGTAAAATGAAAAAAAAAAAGAAGGGGTCTATAGGGAGAGCTGGGGGCGGGGAGAGCATCCGTGGAACAATAGGACTTAATTCTTGTCCTTTTCCTTTTCCCTCCTCTTTAGGAGTGACTATGGTGAAGCACTTGATCATCCCCCCCTTTTTTTAATTGTTGTTCCAAAAGCAGCAGAAACCACAGATATGCCTAGTGTGTTGACATATGCCTAGGTACAGTGGAATCGAGGTAGAATAGCATTGCAAGGGAAGGTATAAAGACCGTGCCTATTCACAAGCAAACAAACCCAGACAAATACATGGGAATAAAACCACAAAAGAAATGGGAAAGATCATTAAAAAGAAAGATTCAACAAAATGAAAGAAGGATTTAGATAAGGGTGCCTAGATGGGAAAATTATAAAGATGCCAATGCTTGCCAATTAACCCATAAACTCAGTGCAATTCCAATGAAAACATTACATATTGGATTCTGCAAGGACAGGAGGACAGACAGACCCCGGGCGGGCCACCTGGCTCTCCCGCCGCCGCCTCGGCGGGCGCGGGGCTGCGTGGCGAGGCCTGATCCCTGCAGCGCGGGCGGGCGGCATCGTAGAACTCAGCGAGCCTGAGTCGCCCGGACTCTTGCAGTTCCCGGCAGAGTGTGTGCCACAAAGCAGACGCCGTCAACAGGAGAAGCTTAGGGTTCTACAGATGTTCTACAGATGACAAAGGAGCCGGTCGTTGGAGGATCCTATCTCACCCAAATCTGGGAGAGCGATTTCCCAGCAATTGCTCTGGGTGATACAACCAAAGAACAGGAGTCTTCTCTTCTTTTTGGCCACTAAATGCCTACGTGCACCACACATTCCATGAGGGAAGAAGGGTGGAGCTTCTTGGATGATGATGGACATTTCACTGGACAGAATGAAGGCAGAGAGTGTGACATCTACACCACAAGGGTGCAGTGTGAACTTCCTCATCTCCCTTCCCGTCCAGCTCCCTGCCTCCTCTATCCACCGCGGTGTTGGGTGAGTTTTTTCCATTGCCCTGGACAAGAGGAGGAACTTGTCAATTTTAAAGGGGGGGGTGGTTAAGCAGTGCGTTGACCAAAGCACCCTTGTGCAGTTTCCTCACACCAGACTCAGAAAGCTGCTCACCTGCCACTCAGAAGAGGCCATTCTGGAGCCGGGCGATTACCACAATGAGGCCAATAAAGAGTGTACTATTTTGATCGGAACACCTCCTTATTCAGATGTGTTTTGCATTTTTATTACACGGGAAAGCTGCAATGTCATTGGAGGAACTGTGTGTGTTTTTGTTCTGCCAGGAGATGGAGTAGGGGGGCCTTGAGGAGCTCTTCATCAGTTTCTGCTGCAGTGTTACCAGGAACGCAAAGAATAAAACCACAGAGGAGGACTGGGACCAGGAGAGCAATGGCATGAATACCAGTTCCTCCTCTGAAGAGTTTTCTCTGAGAAGGAGCTGGAGAAGTTTGACAAGGGGTGATTTGGTCACTTCCTGAAGAAGATCTGGATTCGAATGGAAAACCCAGCCTACTGCCTGCCTGTCCCCCAAGTTCATTGCCATCTCCTCCGTGAGCATGACGCTGGCCTCCATTGTGGCCGTGTGTGTCCACAGTATATCAGAGTTCCAGAAAGAGGACGGAAAAGTGGATGACGCCATGCTGGAAGGCTTGGAGACTGCGTGCAGCACTTGGTTCATCTGCGACTTTGCCAGCCTGTTGGGCGCTGCTCCCTGTCAAAAGAAATTCTGGAAGAATGCTCTGAACATAATTGCCCTTGCCTTCATTATTCCCTTCTATGCCACTTTGGCTGTAGACACCAAGGAGGAAGAGAATGAGGACATTGAGAACACGAGCAGGGTGGTTGAGATCCTCAAGCTTATGGGGATCTTCCAAATTCTCAAGCTTGCCTGGCACTACGTAGGACTTTGGTCTCTAGGTGCCACACTGAGACACAGCTACCATGAGGTTGGGCTGCTGCTTCTCTTGCTGTTTGTGGGCATTTCCATCTTTTCTGTGCTTATCTACTCTGTGGAGAAAGATGACCACATGCCCAGCCTCACCAGCATCCCCATCTGCTGGTGGTGGGCCACCATCAGCTCGACTACTGTGGACTATGGGGACACCCACTCAGTCACCTTGGCCGGGAAGCTAATTACCAGCACGTGCATCATCTGCGGCATCTTGGTGACTGGATGGGTGTCTCCACATTATCTCCAACAAGTTTTCCAGAAGCAGAAACACACTGATGTGGACCAGCGCAGTGAGGACCCACCAGGGAAGGGTCATGAGCTATCTTGCTTTAACATTAGAGATATTTGTGCACACCAGATGCACGTCTTCACTACCAGTCTATCTTCTGTGGGAACTGTGGTGGGCAATCCCAATTCCACAGGTGCTTCAAGCATTGAAGACAGTGAGAATGTTTATAACACAACATCCTGGGACAATTACACTGCAAAATGAACAGGGACATTTGTGCCTGTATCTTGTGTCCCTTCCTGATGTTAGCTTAACACAGTTTTAATAAACCTCAATGGGTTCATTAAAATCGTTTAATTCTCAGGGTGTACCTTTCAGCCATAGTTGGACGTTTGTTGCTCCAAAATGATAAAATATTCTTTATTTTCCTCATTAAAGTGAATTAAATGCTTGTTCTGAAATTTATTTTTTACAAGAGAGAGTTGAGCTAAGATTTTGGGAAAAAAAGTAAATGGTATTGGGTGGGATTTATTACTATGGCTTATGTATCAGTCTGTATTTGTCATTTTCTCACATTAAGCTAACTGTAAATTACTGATAAGTAGAATCAAAGGCTCAGCGACTGAAGATTACATGCATGTTGGATCCACAAAATGAGACAATACATGTAAATCTATGTTCATGTTCTAGACATGGAAACTGGGACCCTAATTATGGGGAAAAATTGGATTCTGTAGTAAATGGCATTAGTATAACTAATTGTACCTTTAGAGAAAATTAAGATACAAAGTCTACCTCAAAGCAAAGGTACACAAACACACACACATTACACATACACACCACTAGTAGGTTACAAAGGGAGCTAATTCTTAAAAAACTGTACTTATATTAGAGGAAATACAGGCAAAAGTATTCTAGTAAACGTGGGATGTGAAGACTGTCCTAAATAAATGAAAACACAAAAGTTCAATAGAAAACATTGACAAAAACAGAAAACTTATATTCCAGATTGATTGAAAATACCACACCAAAAAAAAGAAAAAAATCAAGGAAAGGGCTGAGGGAAACCATTGCAGCACGTGAGTTCAACATGTGCCAACACCCATATTTCAAGTGTGGCTAATGACTACCATGTGCCAAGCGCAGCAAGTCTATACATAGAACATGAACTTGCTCTACTTTCACACGAATCAACTTACTGTGGTGAGGGGAGAAACCGGTCCCCGCTTTCCCATGTTGTTAAAGTAAGCCAGGGGACGGCGTTCCTAAGTTTCCTCTGGGCCAGAGTATGTCCTGAGAAGGAACCTGGGGCAGAGGCCTGTTCACAAGCACCAACACCCACCTCCCTGCTAACTCACACACCACCTGCCATAGGCCCCCCCAGTGAGCTGAGGGTCCCCGAGTCAGTTAGAGGTTCCTGGGAGGAAGGTGTGCCCCGGGGAGACTTGACACCAGGGAGCCGCAGAGGGGATGCCCGGCTGGGTGCATGAGGCTCCCAGATGCACCACACTGCAGCAGGA